CTAATAAAAAGATGAAATAATAAAAAATGAATTCATTTTGTACCAAAAAATATTATTTTTGCAAGGCTCAAATACGATAGCTCAAAATTTTGCCCATTTTGAGAGCAAAACGTGCAACTATATAAAAGGCGATCTTATGTAAATTGTAGAGCTTTTCATGCTGCATATTTTGTCGCAGTAGTATAGAAGAAATGATAGATTAGAACAGACCACAAGACATAGAAGTCTGAAACTTTGCACACATTCCTAAATATGTCTAAACATTATAATAGAAAACTTGAACTGAAACTGAGACTTTTAGAAGAACCGGGTGAAAAAAATTTTGTAGTGCCCTATGTACATAAGGCTTTCGTCCTGGAAAAATGGCTTTCAATACAGCAGAGTTTTCATCGACCAGTTTATCGGTGATTTCGAGTGGACATTAAAAAGTCTATTCCAAATCTTTGTCTTGCTGTATCATTTCATAAATAATTTCATGTTCATCGAATACTACACGATACATGGACGGATATTTGACTGCATGTTTCTGAAGTTGTTTTGATCTCTACCATTGTTCACATCCAACATGCCAGCGCCAGCAAATATCATGAGCAGAGGTTTCTTCCCTGTGGTAACAGTTGCATTAAAAATATCGAGAATTAGACGAGTTTCTTTCGATTGTCAATTCAGTATAACATTAAAATCTTCGCTGATATTAGAAATCACCACGTCGAAGTTGCCTTGTGTGATAGATGAGGCTAGAGAGTGTTCAAAGTCACTCTTTATCAAAATATCACCTTTCATCATCTTCAACTTTGATGAATTCAGCTGGGTCGAATCAATTCGATCATGGTTACGAATGATAGCCGTTACTTGATTACTTCTCTTGAGAAATTCGACGAGCACATAAGAGTCAATAATCTCGATAGATCCAAATTTGAGAACATACATGATGTTTGCAGAAGAGACAATGGTTATATAAGCAAAAAGTGATTCAGTTAAAACTTTATTAAACATTAATCCTGAGAGAGACTCATTCAGGGCTCTTGGAAGATGTTGCTGGTTCTAGCAATATGTTTTAACTACTACCAACGCAAGATCTAACCATTTTTCTTGTACTCTGTAAATAATTAAGAGAAAATCGATCGCTCTCACATTCCAAAGACTTGCTTGTCCTTCAATTTCAAGTTCATGTCTTTCTCTATCATAAATTATTTTCTGCATACTATCAACACTAATATCTCATATATGCATGGGAGTGAGTAAGAGTATATATGTGAATGTTGGTGTAAGTCTTGATGTGAGTGGCTGCGCGGAAATGAATGAAGTTGCTGAGAATATTCATGGGGATCTCGATTTGCATACTGTACTATGCTGCTTCTTCTCATTCTAATCGATTCCATTCATAATCATACACCCGCATCTATATGCGGCACTCTGATACCTTCAGCCAGACGAACATCCACACGCGCAGCAACGTTGGTAGTAAATAACAAAAACCATAATCACATCCACAACTCGTACCTAGACATTATTTGATGTACAAGAATATTATTTCGATTGATATTAAAAAAGTATTTTTATATTTGAAAAGTTTTATTTAATGATTCGTTTATGACAAAAAAGTAAAGATCTCTCAATGTGTGTTTATTTATTAAATATGAATTCTAAATAATTTCAAAGACTTTTCATAACTATCAAAGAGACAATCCAGAAAAAAATCATTCAATTTTAATGTTTTCATTATAAATTGAAAGTTTTAATTTCAAAGCTTCATTTATATAGTATTTAGTCTTCGAAAAACAACACAAAAAAAAGTAAATTGATGCGTTCTTTGAAATCACGATTTTAAGAAAAACCTTTTGCATCATAAATTCTTTTCTAAGATAAACAAAATCTATTGAAGTCGTATAAGTATTCGGACAGATTCGAATTCTATTTAATGTGACTCGTAACTGGATACATTTATACATGTAATTAAAAATATTTCAAAAAATATTAGTATAAATACGTTCTAAACAAGAATTAATTTCATTAATCAATATAAGTTCGTGTAATTGGTGTATCATGAGGTTGACGAATTTCAGTTATACCATTGTTTTGGCTGTTGTTTAGACTTCAATTTATTTGTGGATAAAATGGAAAAGCTGTTAATTCTTCATCGATAGAACTCAATCATCGAAAATCATGCAAAAAATGGAATCCTGGTTTCTCAATATATTGTGAGATTAACATTTATATAGCTTTTAAATAAATCACGTTTTTTTTTATTGAGAAATATCTCGCTTTTATAATATTGTTGTACTTTTCCTGCTGTAAAATCGATTTTTATGAATAAATAACTTGAAAGTTTTTTAAAAACTCTATTCGAAGACTTTATTGAAAATATTAAAAAGACAAAAAAAAGATTTCTGTAAAATAATCAATATTCATATGATTATTGGTGATTGATTAAAATGTGTATCCATATTAAAATGAATAAATAGACATCGTTTTATATTAATTATCTTTAATCTTTTCGGTTGAGATCAAATAATGAGACGAAACATGAATCGTTTTCACAACGTTGTTACCTAAAGACCTTTATCATTCTTTTTCTATGTAGTTAAATATAATATTCTTGCCCGAGTGAAAAACGAGATATTAACTAACTGGTAAAAATGATTGAGATTCAAATGGAACTGATCAAGTAACTCATATTTTAATAAAAATACCAATGGAATTGAAACAAATAAAAATAATGCACATATTTAATAATAACAGACAATATATGTGACATATTCCTTAAATAGGTAAAGAGAAGACATTAATGATAATAACTATTTATTTATTTTCATTAAATCTATCATTTTTTATCATAATCAGACTTCTACACATTAATTGTCTTGAATAAATAATTATTGATCTATTGTTCAGTTTTTTATTTTTATAATCTTGTTTGTAAAAAATCTAAAAAGTAACTATAAATCACCAGTGATTAATAGATGAATAAAGAAATAAATATTGAATAATATCGAATAACTTGTCTAATATTGGAATAGATATTATAGATTGAGTGGTGTCACATATCCAGAATATCGGGCATGATGGAGAAGTGTCGGGGGATGTGAGAGAAGTATAAGGAGATCTGGGAGAAGTGTAGAGAGATGCGAGAGATGTCACATATCCTCTCCGCCCTCACCCTCAGTCAGAATGATGTGCTGTGTTCCTCACCCTCACTCAGAGAGATGTGCTGTGTGTGTCTCTCCCTCATCCTCATTAAGAGAAATGCGGGAGATGCCGTATCTTCCTGTGAAGAAGTGCGGGAGATGCCGCGTCTCCCACTGGGGCCCCAGGCTAAAAATAAAAAAAAAGTTTCATCAGGAGATGCTGGGCGATGCCACACCTCGTGTAGAGACGCGGCACCTCCCGCACTTCTCCACAGGGAGATATGATATCTCCCGCATCGGCATATCCTACTTCTCTCGGTGAAAAAATTTTTTTGGATTTTTTTTTATCTAGGACTCATCTGAGTGAAGCCTCTCCCTACACTTCTCCAGCATGCCTGATTTGCTGGATATGTGATACTGCTGTATAGATTATAGATATTCAATTGATATTGGTGATTCAAGTGAACACAATAATTATCAACTATTGCTATAGAAACATCAAAATTAATTGATAGCTAAAGATTTAGAATATGTAATATACAAAAATAATGTTATGTATATCTGTTCAATTGTAAACAAATATATTTCAGGAGAAAAGTATTTAAAATCTAGATTCCGTTTCAATAAAGATTATACTAAATTAACGAAAATAATTAAACGAATATTTTATGTACGATTGATATTTGTTTCTTAAAAACGGACGAGATTTATATTGAGAAAAAATTTTTTTATTCATACACGATATTTAATAAGTTCATTAAAATAAAACTAAGATCAAACAAACGAATAGCATAGAGAATATATCATGATTAAAAATGTTGCGTCTTTGATTATGATTTATTTTCGTGATATCGATTATCTGGAGTTAATAATGTTGATTTATCGTAGTAATGCTCATCGTTATGATAATTTCCTAACAGAAAATCTATTTCAAATGATTACTCAGCATATAATGGCATTTTATTCATTTCAATAAATCTACGAATTATTTTTTATATAGATGCAATTCATAGATTATCTAAAAAGAATATTTTATGTCAGTTCTAATTGAAAGCAATAACTCGAAGCTATTCTTTTGCAAAAAAAAATGAATAATCTACCAATGTCAATATTTATACATACTTGAATATATTGTCATGAAACGAGATTTATTTTCAAGGTCGACCAAAAATTGCTGTGTTTTTGCCTCTTATCGAAAATAATCTTCTCAAATTTGAAATATTAGAGCACTGTTAAATGATACATCAACAAAAAAAAATACATATCGAACCATGTCAACAAATCTATAATAATAGTTTAATAAGTTCTACATCGTTAGAAATTCGTAAATTAGAAGATGAATTTTTTTTACTTTGATGAAGAATTGATCAAATATTCGTCGTAATCATTATTCATGATTTTTAGAGTTATTTTCAGACGTGAAATTACAAGAAAGTTCAAAATAGAATAAATTCGGCACTTGTGAGTCAAATTTGGTTGTGCTTTATTTTTATTTTCAGCAGTAGAAAACTAAAAATTCGACCAAGAAATAAATATAATAAATAGCCGTATTTTGTAGAGTAGCTGACAATATATGAAATATAAATGTGAACAGATTCGATTTTATTAATCATTTTTAATAATATGTCAATAAAGGAATCCGACTAAGTGTTTGACTTGATTATTAAGATGGTGATTTAAGATTGTATAGATTAAATTGAAAACACAATATATGTCGAATTGGTGATATATATAGTCATATACTGAAAACTCTCGTTTAATTTTATTGAATAGAAATAGAATATATTATTTTCGTTAGTTATACATAATACAAAACATAAATTTATGAATTATCAAAAAAAAATAAAATAAAATAAAAAACTCAGTCATTAATCAAATAAATTCAACAGTATCATTATCGTCACCAGGAGGATTTATAAAAGCAATTTTTTTTTGTTTATCATCGCTAAAAAAAAAAGCAAAACAAAAATTAATAATAATTTTAATTAAAAAAGATTACCTAAATAATTTTTTTCTGATTTTAATAATGATTAATCCAGTTAACCATCTAGCTGCAATATATCCAATAAATCCAAAAAAAATTGAACAAATCATTGGTGACATTGCACTAACGAAAATTGTTGAACCACATAAAACTCCAGCTATTGACATTCCAAATGCAGATAAACTTGCAAAACCTGATTGAATCATTTGTTGAATATAATCTTCAGGATTTATCGCATATTTTCGAGCTAAATTCTTTGAACGATCTTCTTCATAATAATAATAAATAAACAAGCGAACAGATAATATTAATGCTTCTAATGTAAAAGCTGTCAGAGAAGCTAACGCATTTCCTAATAAATATTAAAAATCAATTAATTTTTTTTTATTTATAATAGGTCACAGAAATACATTTTACTTTTTTTTAATTCAATTATTATTATTTTTAAATAAAAAGATTTATTTAAATAATTCTCTTTGATTCAAATATAATTGAAATAAAAATAACAAAGATGCAGATCTCATATTTATTCATTAATGACTTAAAAATTTTTTTTTTTTTACAAATTATTATAATCATTTGTTTTATTTGAATCTACGAAATAAAGTAGGAGAAAAGATCTCAAATTAATTTCAGTTAAATAATTTAATCTGTTTGTCATCAATAACTTTATTCGTTATTTATATAATAAATAACAATGAATTATCTCTTGGCATAAAAACAAAAAAAAGACAATAAAACATATTTTTATTTATTTAGTAATGAAAATCTTTGATAATTAAAATATGTAAAGAATTTCTAAGAACAAATCGTTTTTTTAATCAGATGTTATTTCACATTAGATTTTGACAAAGAATTACAGTTGTTTCTCTCGATAGTTAATTGATTTAAAAAATAAAATTACCTGCGATTATTGTTTCTATAGATATTCCAGCAATAATTTGTTCGGCTAATTCTAAAACAAGAAAAAAAAAACATATTTACAATACATGAAAAAAAGTCAAATTTGGAATTAAAATGTTACGTCGAATAATTTGAAAAGTAAATTTGGCAGCATTATACATTCCATTTATAAAAATACATTTAACAACATTACAAGCCATAAGAACTTGTTCACCCAATACATAATTAACATTAGTTGAACAAATAAATGCAAATTGTTCACAATTTTTAATAACAAGACTATATGTTTGCCATATATCTCGTTGATGTTTATCATTATAAATAGTAAGAGCATTTTTAACAATAGCATCTTCAGGTAATCTATCAGTTAAATAACATGTTCCACTTCTGTTTAAATAATAATCCATTGGATCTGTTTTATATCTAGCAACAGCAATATCATGTAAATAATTAAATGGATGTTCACATCGAAATTCTTTTAAAGTAACAATGTTTAATCCATGAATATTTTGTTCAACAATCATTAATTCTTCGACCTTGTTTGGCATTAATTCAGGAGATAAAATTGTCATAATATCTTCTTTCGAAACAACAATTCCATGATGTTGATATATTCGAATTTTACGCCAAACATATAAATGATCACCACGACGTGGAATATATTCTGTCATTATAACAATACTTTTCTATATCAATCAAATTTCTTTTATTCAGCATAAAAAATAAGGAGCATCAGTATAAGTTGTTTTACTGTTTTTTTTTCATTTTTCATGTTCTACAAATGACATATTGATGAGGATCATTTTGTTTTTCGTCATAGAAGAACGAAAGAAAAAAAAAACAATGTTGCTTTGGTGAATGAATATGTCTACCATGAATAGAATACGAAAGAAACAAACGAAATAAATATGAGGTCTGGGTATTTCATCTAATTTAACCAATTATA